AAATAAAACAACAAAATGATGTCTGTTTGTCTCTCTCTCCCTTACCTCATCCCTTCTACTCTCTCTAAAATTTATGAGTTAAAAAAAAAAAAGTTTTTCTTTAAAAAAACGAAGGTGAGATAAATTTTCAGATGAAACTAAAATAATTCATCATGAGCAGACTTGTTCTAAAGGAAATTGCTCTGGATGAAAACAAAAAAATGCCAGTAGAAAACTTAGAATTTCAAGAATAAAAAATATCAAAAATGGCAAATATGTGAATACATGTAATAGACCAGGAGTTGGCAAACCTTTTCTATAAAGAACCAGCCAGATAGTAAATATTTTTAGCCTTTGCAGGCCAAATAGTCTCTGTTGTTACTAACCAATTCTGCATTAAAGCACAAGAGAAACCTCAGGCAATATATAAACAGGTGAGATGTGACTGTATTTCGGCAAAACTTTATTTACCAAAGAAGATTGCAGGCCAAATTTGACCTGTAGTTATAGTTTGCCAATCCCTGTGACAGACATTCTCTTCTGTTCAAATTCTTTAAAATAAGTATGATAATTTAAAACAAAATTTACATCGTCTGAAGAGGATTCAAACCATGTAGACAATCACTATCCTGCCCTCTTACTACCAAATTAGTTTCCTTACTAGGTTGTAGTTTTTCTGCAAGGAATTTAAATCATATATGAACTTAAGAATGTTATGTATACACTCTTCATAATCTGGTAATTTAATTGTATCTTCTCAACTAAACAACCAGTCCTACATATATAAGGATTTTTTTTTTAAAGTAAAGAAAGCAGCCACTCTTAGTATCATAATTCAGAACAACTGATAAATCTGGGGACTTCTGGCATTGCAAAAGAAACATAGTGCATTTTCAAACTATGGATTCTAATACCGGGCCATAAAAATCAACCAGTGGGTCAAAAATATGATATTTAAAAACATGATATCTATCTATCTATCTATCTATCTATCTATCTATCTATCTATCTATCTATCAGTTTAACTGGTAACTATGACGCTCAATGCAGGAGCTGCCATGAGGCACATTGGCTATTTAAAAATAAATGGCACTACGAACCTGGCACAACAAACCAACACTCAGCTTCCCCCAAGTGGGACACAGGCCCTGCCCGCCACCACCCCAGAGCGATACCCCACCAAATTGCAGCCAACGCTGCCAAGACCCCATGGTACAAAACGCAGCCCAGAGCCCAGCTCAGCCCAGAAATGGTGGTTTGGGCACCACGTAATGCCGTCACATAGCAATGCCCAGCTTCCTCTCCCTAGTGACTAGCCTCCTTGGAGTTTCTTCAGCTCAGGAACACAACTTGCTTTATAGCCAAGTGCAAACATTTCACATTTTAATCCCAATGTCTGTGAAGCATTTTCCTATGCCTCATCTCATTTAATCCTCACAGAAGTCCTGGTGTAGGTAGATAGGATACACGGTCGAATCCTATTTTCTTTTCATTAGCAAGACATGAATAGGGATATTAAAAAAATATTTCTTCTAATTAATTTCCTTTCAATGTGCATGAATCTATGAACTGGGACACTAGTATAATATAAAGTATCTGAATGAATCTTGCAGTAAGGTGATTGTTTTCTGAGCCTTTTTCCCCATCATACACAAGTGAATGAACTCACCCTGGCTCCACACTATGGATCCTGGTTTAAGGGGGGAAAAAAAAAGAAAAGAAAAAAAAAAAGTAAAAGTCTCTAGAAGTATGCTTGAGCCAGAATGATAATGAAAAAAAAACAAAACAAAACAAAAAAAACTACACACACAAAATCACAAGCCATGAAGTCAAAGACCTAAAAAAAAACCCCCCCCCCCAAAAAAAAACCCACTTAGTTCTGCCATTCATTAGATATATAACCTTGGAGAAGTTATTTGTACAAGTTATTCTATAGAACACTTATTAAAAAAGGAAAAGTTTGACTTACTCTGTAGAGTGAAGAGAATATATGAGATTACTTTACCAGGAGCAAAAGCCAGAATCCTTATGATGGCTTACAAAATCTTTCCTGACTTGCCTCTGGTTCCCTACCTTTTCTATACCTATCTCCCCTTCTTTCCATTTCACTCCAGCCACAAAGATTTCCTTGAGATTTTCCAATCATAAGATATCAAATACTATGACACCCTCTCTCTCATGACATTTGCTCTTTGTTGTCTTCCCTTCCTGGAACCCGATTCTTCTGGATATACACAGAATTGCTGCTTTAACACAGTCACAATCACCTTCTAGAGGAGAAATTCCATGACCAGCCAATTTAAATCTGTATCCATATACAGGGTGGGACAAAAGTGAGTATGTGAAACACTGTTTATTCTTGTGTTATTTATTAGTTATTGTATTATTTTACACATGAGTAACTATAAACCTACTTTTTTTTTTTTGCCACACTGTATATATCAAGCCTATCAAATTTGTGGCCAGTGGGCCACAACGAATATTTTTGTGGCCCAGCCAATATAATGGTATGTAAGAAATGTTTTAATAAAAATTTTATAACTTTTACAATATCCTGTTACACATAATTATTAATAACGAACTATGTTAGCTAGTGACTGATTACTATAATCGTATTGCATTCATTTCCCTTACGTGACTTAAGCACAGGTGCAGCTTTTCTCTCCACTAATACTAGCAGTGTATATTTTAGCAGCCAATTGCTACATCATTAGCCTTGGACTGACTTGTTCGGTGTGCACAACAGCAAATATTTCGCTTCTGAAGAACAAGAAAAATAGATTTGTGTTATGCTTATTAATTTGTGTAGTTATTCTGTGTCTGGTAAGTTAATGTCCAAGAAAAAATATTAATTTTTATTAAAATGTTCTATTAGCCCTAATGAGTTTGGCTTAGTGGATAGAGCGTTGGCCTGCAGACTCTCAAGGGTCCCAGATTAGATTCCAGTCAAGGACATGCACCTTGGTTTCAGGCACATCCCCAGTAGGGAGTGTGCAGAAGATAGCTGATTGGTGTTTCTCTCTCATCAATGTTTCTTAACTCTCTCTCCCTCTCCCTTCCTCTTTGTAAAAAAATCAATAAAATATATAAAATGAAATGTTCTATTATTTTAACAATTACTCATTTACTTCAGCCCTTTGTATTCAACATATCTCTTTGAAATAAACCTACATTTCTATGAAAATTGAAGCTTCTGTTTTTGGGGTTCCACATAAACCTTGTTTATTTGGCTCGTGTTAGCCTTTCAGCTTAATATGCTTGGTGTATATACTTCATACTCCCTTGGTCTCTTCTCTCTATACCCCTAACCACTATCTGCCATACCATCTTTTATTTTCACTCTGTACACTCTATATTCTCTTAGAATAGTACCTGGTTCATAGAAGTTAAATAATTGCCAAATGAATGAATAAACAACATATAGAAAGTACCTAATACAGTACTTTAACATTATTTTGCCTACCCCCCTCCCATTAGTAAACAACTTATTCTTTTTTTATTTTTATTTTTCTCATTTGCAAACAAATTATTCTTTACAAATTCACCCATGAACCGAAACCGGATTGGCTCAGTGGATAGAGCGTCGGCCTGTGGACTGAAAGGTCCTAGGTTTGATTCTGGCCAAGGGCATGTATCTTGGTTGTGGGCACATCCCCAGTGGGAGGTGTGCAAGAGGCAGCTAATAGATGTTTCTATTTCATCGATGTTTCTAACTCTCTAGCCCTCTCTCTTCCTCTCTGTAAAAATATCAAAAAAACATATTAAAAAAAATTCATCCATGAATATCAAACTGAAGCCCTCCAGATAGCATATGCTTAAAAAAATGGTAAAAAATAAATCCAATTTAACATTTAACCTAACATCTTATCTACATTTTTAGTGTTGATACAGTAAATTAAATTAGGCAAAAATCCTCTTATCCATTTATATTATTTTATCCAGTCTGACCTGCTTTGTGCTCAATTTCGGTGTAGTACTTCTTTACATTAGTCTCACTTCATATTCGTGTGATATTAAATACTTATCCCCCACCCCTGCCAGGAAACGAAATGATTTGAGAGGGGATCAGAATAAGGATAACTGTCATTTTATTCCTATTCTTTTTTATGTTGAAAATAAAGGATATAAACAAAATACACATAGAACACAAAATAATAAAAAATATTCACTCTTCAGAAAAAAAAAAAAAATACAAACAGCTTCAAAATTCAGGACTTTCCCCCCACACACAACTGTTATCAGTGTCATTGACAATAAAATGAAAAAGACAATTCACACATAACTGGTGAGAATATAAATTGGCACAGCCTTGGTATAAGAGAAAAGCAAATAAATATTAAAAACTTTGGAAAGCCCTAACCAGTTTGGCTCAGTGGATAGCGTCAGCCTGCGGACTGAAAGGTCCCAGGTTCAATTCCGGTCAAGAGCATGTACCTTGGTTGTGGGCACATCCCCAATGGGAGGTGTGCTCAGGAGGCAGCTGATCGATGTCTCTCTCTAACCGATGTTTCTAACTCTCTGTCCATTTCCCTTCCCCTCCATAAAAAGTCAAAAAAATATATATTTTTAAAAGTTTTGGAAAATAACCTTTCATACATTCAACAGATACTTGCCAGTCCCTATATGAGGCTTCAAATACACATCAGTGAGCAAGACTGATCTGATATATATGATCCAGTGATGGAATGAAGAATATAACTGAATAATGTTATAAATCAAAGGAACTTAACTTCTTTTTCTGTGCTAATTGACATATCAGAAATAAAGATAAACTTTTTCTGAAGCAGTGTTAAAGCTGACAGTCAATTTTATAGAAGCGAAAATACTATTTTTGCCATGGCTTAAGATTTTAGCATACGCATTGGCCCAAGGCTAGCATATGCAATTAAAAGTAAAAGCCATTTAACTATACAATTTAGAATGTACACTATTCTGAAGAATGAATTCTCTAGTTACTTTTAATTTCGGCAAAAAGCCTTTATTAAGCCTTTTCCAAATGTGTTTAAAAATTTTATTTTTTCTAGAAACAGTCAACATAATGAACATAAATCATATTTGACACCTTAGCTTAGGGGTGTCGAACTCAATCAGAGAAGGGGCCAAAATCTAAAATCCAGCCTAAATTGCGGGCCGAATAGTTTACTGAACAGTCATAAACTGTCATTGTGATGGAAACGCAGCGGAGTGCAGTGATGACAGCACAGTGCGGGCCACATTGCAAGGCCTGGCGGGACGGATTTGGCCCGCGGGCCTTGTGTTTGACACATGTGCCTTAGCTTAACAATCATCATTAAAACCATCAAAAATTACAAAGGGACATATCTTGACCAGGATATGCAGATTTCCTAGAAGTTACGTTTTATATTATAAATGTAAGTTTTATAAATAAGTTCTAGCTATGAGTTGTCTTTGTCATATTTTTAATTATTTGCCTGATATGAAAAAACCACCTGAGGATTCAGGGTAGCACAATTCCAGTTTCTAGAGTTTTAGTATGTTTTTAGAAGAAAAAAGAATTTTATGTGAAAGCAGCTTTTTAATATGAGATTAATCAGCAGACTTCACAAGCACTTATCAGTAACTAGATTTTACAAGGGTTCTTTCAATGTACAACAATCATTTTCCAAATTCATAGCTCTGTGATTCATTTTCCTTACTTTGCTACTGCAGCTAAATACTTAGTACTAGTCTGCTTTCCTAATACGGTATTTACTCTAATGCTTCAAAAGGTTCAGTAGGCATGCGTTCTTAAGAGATTTGAGAGGGGGAAAAACAGTTATTCACATTATATACACAAAGAACAAAGAATAGTTTCAAACTATTGCACTGACATTCTCAATGCTCTAATTATAAATTACAAATTAATTTCATTTGTAAGGAAAAACAGGAATGACGTCACCAAAAATGTCTGGCTAACAATGATAAAGAGAAAGCACACAAATACCACTACAAAAAATTAGAAGAACCCAAAGAATATTTACAATCATTCAACCTAATAACAGAATGAAGATGAGATCAACTACCTGCTATACCTATCTATATATATATTTACACACAGAAAATCAGGACTCCAGCAAGCAAAAATATCCAATATCAATTGGCTTATTCTGATGAAAATAGCAGAATCATTTTCCCCTCTTCACATTCACCTCTCCCCCAAATCCAATAAGCCAGATATTTAATTTAATAAAGGGCAAACCACATAAATGCAGCAGCACCTCAAGGTAAAAAAATGAATAAATGAATCACACAACTTAAGAAATTACTAGTTTCATTACAACCACTAATAATAAGGCAGCATTACCATAACACTCTCACACACTTTACAGTTAACCAAGCACTTTTACTTTCATTACTTCAATTATCAGCAGGAACACTATGAGGTATAAATGACTAAAAAGCTGAGATTCATCAATATTAACTAGTGGCCACATGCACGAAATTCATGCACATTAAAAGGGAACTATATAATAATTAGAGAAAATATTTTAATGTTGCTATTTGTCCTTTATAACAGAAGTGTCAGAGATGAAAGAAAATTAGTAAAATGTAAATGAAAATCTCCTTCCTGTCAGAGTCTGGGGCACAGTGTGGGACCTAGAGTTAAGTCCCCACCCACCATCCTCAGGCTTCAAAAAACGCAGGAGACCCAGACCTGGCTGGCCCCACCCCCATCAAGCCCACCAGGCTGGGGGGCGCAGCCTCAGGTTCTCCAGCCCAGCGCCGGCAGAGGAATGGGGAGGCAGTGCAGCCTCAGGTCCCCCAGACCCAGTGCCGCAGAGCACAGGCTGAGGTCCCCTGTCAAACACCACTGGGCAGGGGATGTGGCCTGAGGTCCCACCATCAAGCTCTGCCTGGTGGGGCACAGCCTGAGGTTCCCTTTAAGCCCTGCAGAGTGGGGGGCAGGGCCTGAGGTCCCTCATCCCAACCAGGCGCCATGCAGCCTTAGGTCCCTAATGTTTGGTAGTGACGTTATGGCATCTTGGCTAATTTGCATATTCCTCTATTATAGATAGATAGATAGATAGAGTGAAAGAAAGAACGAAAGAACAAAAAGAACGAAAAGAAAGAAAGAAAGGGAAGGAAGAACGAACATAGCCAGTAAATTCACGGAGTCTAAACTAAAAACCATCTTTTGAATCCAAGTCTTTCCAAAATAATATAGTATTTCTTCATTAAAAATGAGCATATACTCAAATGTAAATAAATGACCCAACTTTCTCAACTTTCAATAATAAAGTGATAGTAGCTATGTTAAAAATGTCCTCTAAACTTCCTCCAGAATTTTGGAATATTTACTCTGCATAAAGGTAAAAAGAGATGGGAACCAAGTCTGCTAAGAACCTATTTCAGGTGTTTTATGAGATTGTATTTAATTCTCTAAAAGCTTAAAAGGAAATATTATTTTCATTTTAAGGATATGGAAAAGAGGCATAGAAAAAAAAAACTTGCTATCGATAGTGCAACATTAACTCAGGCTGTAACTGGTTGACACAAGTCTGTCTGAATCCCAAGCCAATGCTCTCCCCATTAGATTGTTAAATGCCTCTTTGTGCCATGTACCATGCAGGCCAAGTGCTTCAGAGAGTAATGCTAAGATATATTTATGTCACTCAAACTACTGCATAGTATTTAACACAATGTCATCTAAACAAAATTCCTGGTAGGAAAAACATGTCTAGGTTCTTAAGAACAAACTTGCATTCTTCCTTACATTTACAAATTTGAAACCAAAAATGAGCACAGTGCACTCTATGAAATAAATTGTGGTAATTCTCATTTGGCTCAGAAGTTCATCTTTAAGTAGCAAGTCCCACTCAAAAATATAAAATAAAATAAAGAAAACCTCACAACAACCTACAAGAGCCTTTTATTCCTGTCAAATCTATGAGTTTAAGTATTGTTGTTTATCCATATTTTTTGAATGAGAAAACCTAAGTTTAGAAAAGATAGGTCACACAGCTAATTAAAAGCAGTGCAACGGTAATTCCAATTCCATAGCTGATACCGAGACTTCAACAACATAATGTAAAATCCCAACACAATATAATTATCTTTAATAGTTATAAGTAGCTCCATTTTGTTAAGTCAAAAAGGAACCAAATAAACAATCAGGTAAGCTAGGCAAATCCAAGTCATCACAATAGAATCATTTACTTTTGCTAGTAAAAAATGCTTTTTAATGCATGCTATTCAAAGTAATAATTTGCTCTAACTGCATTCTTAAGGAATCAATTCCTTTCACTTAAAAACATGCATTTGAGTTCTCTTTTTTTGCATGTCAGAATTAACAAATAATGCTAGCAACCTAAAATAAATGCATAACTAAGGGTTATTTATATAGTATTGTGAATAACATGTACACATCTTAGCATTACAAAATGAGCACTTTTAATAATATAAAAGTATCAGCTCCTATGAACAATTGTGTTGTTAATTTAGAGTTTTTGGCATTATTCTAATTTACCCAAATAATGTTAAATCTCAAGTCTGTAAATAACGTCAAAAAACAACATTCAAACTTTGCCTGCCCTGTAACTTGTGTAATGCATTCCACCCATTAATGTAAAACTTTGAACTAATAGCACTTGTTTATATATGTCACAAATTCTCTGGAAAACAGAAACTAGAGTTTCAAAATTATACAGTTAACAAATAAAAATAAAAATAAAAAACCCTGCCAATATGAATACAAAATACTCACTGTCTAATGGAGAGAAAATAATTATTCAAGAATTTCACAAATACACTATATTACACCTGCAAGCTTGAAATTTTAATTATAAGTTAACTCTGGAATCTAACATTTGCCCTGAAGCACAAATTTTATTATCACGTGAACTGTTAAAATAAAATTTTGGTTATTACTTATAATTTAAAAACGTTTCCCACACTTTGGCAAATCCATTCCTTCAACCAACTTCTTATGAGGTCTCAGAACTCTTATAAAAAATTTAGCAAATCGCACTGGGCAGTGTGTTCAGTGGTTAGAGCAACAGCCTGAGAACCAAATGGTAGAGGTGTGATTCCTATTTGATTCCTAGTCCAGGGCACATACAGGAGGCAACCAATCCATGTGTGTCTCTCGTATCTCCCCCCACTCTCTCCAAAAATCACCAAGAAAAAATATCCTCAGGTGAGGATTACCAACAAAAAACACAAAGAAAAAAAATTATAGCAAATTACTTAAACCATTCTCCAGACCCAGTATGTTCTCGGAGGCTTTTTGTATTTGCAGTGCTGATTCTGTACATTCACCAACCCAGTGAACTCGAAATCATCCTTTCAAACACAGTTCAAATATCACTTCCCTAAAATCAACACATTAACTCTCTTAAACAAGACTGCTCTAATCTAGCATATATATAGATCCACAGCATGCACCTTAAAAATTAAACATGAAGAATTATCCAGTGCACCTATAATAATGCTTGGCACATAGTAACATAGTACTTATAGGACTGTTCAAGGAAATATGACTGAACATGAAAATCATAACTAATCAATTTCTAAGAAATAAACTACTATCTAAAATTTGGCAAAAATAAAAAACTCAAAGGTTTTATGAGTCTATGCAGTTTTAGTTTGTTTTTCTTTATAATTTTCCACTAAAAGAGACAGATCCCAATTCCACTGGATCCGGAAAATATTTTTAGACTCTAAATAAAAAATATTCCCTCCTCCCTATAGTTCTCATAAAATATATTACAAATTATTGGATCCACCAAAATATTTTCAGCAGTTTTAAGACAAGAATTTGTCTTAATCATTTCTTTTTCCCTTTTAAAATTTACTCCTATTTTGGTAGACAGCATTAAATAACTGTTTATAAAATAATCCAACATGCAAAACTTGACCCCTTCTCGGAGCCTTCTATTTTTTCTGCCTGGAAAACAATCACCCAGATTTTTGCATGGTTTTCTCCTTTTTAGGTTTCTGCTCAAATGCAATCTCCAGAGAGGTCTTCCCTCATTACCCTACTTAAAATAGTCTCATCCTTCAGCCCTACTCAATTGCTGTACTCTTATTTGCTTTACTTTTTTCATCACAACTATCACTATCTAAAATAGTTTATTTAGTTGTTTGCACGCTTATGTTATATTTCCCCTCTAAGATATTTAGCTCCATGAAGGCAGATTTGTCTTATTCACCACCATATATACCCTCCACAACCAAAATGCTTACAAGAGAATAAACAAATTATTAAAGGATTTAGTTGGAAACCGCTAGAATTCTAACACCCAACCAGTAGAACCTAAAATTTAAATTCAAACAATTTGTATCCAAATGCAACTAAAAACAAGTAAATTCTATGAATTTTGCATCTGCAGAAAGAACAACTACTCTTTTTTAAAAAACACAAATTTTAGGTTGGAAGTGACCTTTAGAGATCAAGTCCATTGGTTTTCAAACTATGCTTTAAAATACCCTAAGAGCAGTCAGAGGTCAAATTCCCTGAAGCACTGGACCATAATTGTTTTATTTATATATATATATATACACACACACACACACACACACACACATATCTATTTTAGAATGTGTGATTTACACACATACAGAACAAAAAAAAGTGTATTATACAGTCACGTGTGGCTTAACAAGAGGATACATTATTAGAAATGCCTCATTAGACTATTATCTTTGTGAGTTTACTTACACAAACCTGGATGGTATAGTAGTCTACTATAAACCTAGGCTTTATCACATATAGTCTACTGCTCCTAGCCTACGAACCTGTATAGCATGTTATTGTACAAAACAATGCAACATTAAATCAAGCACAAGAGAAAATGATGCAATGAAAAGATGCAATAAACATGAGACTACTGCTGGCATAACATGGCACACTATAAAAAGTATAATATAGTAAATACACACACCACTAACACAGTTAATATTAAGTATTATGTACTGTACATACAGGGGTGGTCAAAAAAGGTTCATGTAGTTGAGTACATGAAAAGGTTTATTCTTGTATTATTTTCCATGTGAACTGTAAGCCTACTGTTGCTCACTGCTGTAGTTGTATGTGCTATACTTTTATATGATTAACAGCATCACCATGTGATGTAATGCCCTACGAATTTAGGATTTGTGTGGGAATTTTTCAGTTTCATTATAATCTTATGGGACCATTGCTACATACCATATTACGCTCCGGACCATAAGACGCTCCGGACCATAAGACGCACCAGTTTTTAGAGAAGGGAAATGAAGAAAAAAAGATTCTGAAACAAATAGTGTCCTAAAATATTTTATGTGCATTAAAACCCAACATCACAGTCATAAACACATGTAATCAACCCTGTAAAGTAAACAGCAGCATTTAGAACCATTTTAGAGCCGGGCAAGCACACAGAGACCACACAGAGCCGGGCAAGTAAAAAAACTTTTTTTTTAAAGTATATGTGTAGGCTATATTTGGACCATAAGAC